CAAACAAGCCCTTTTATCCCAGTGGTCTAGTGGCTGGGATTCTGACATGGTATCAAAGGGAAGGTCTCGGGTTCGAATCCCAGTGTGTGCACTTCGGGCATCCTAGTGCGGGGGGGTGTCAGAGGTCCACTGGTGATCCCCGATTGATCATAGGGAAGGGTTACAGGCACGTTGGCATGGGGGGTTATGGGCGCACTCACCCGCTACACAAACAAGCCCTTTTATCCCAGTGGTCTAGTGGCTGGGATTCTGACACAAGAACCAGGCCGAAAAGGCTCCAATAGGTGTATTTGAACACGAGCCATTCAAATGTGCAATGAAAATCAGGTTGTTGAATGCTTTTCCATACGCCTCTAGAGATCCGTGCGCTCTCTGAGCATTTGTCGGCAAAAACGGCAGAAAGCATGGGCGCTGAACTTTTCTTGGCGCAAGAACCAGGCGAAAAGGCTCCAATAGGTGTATTTGAACATGAGCCTTTTTAATGTGCAATGAAAATCAGGTTGTTGAATGCATTTCCCTACGCCTCTAGAGATCCGTGCACTCTCTGAGCATTTGTCGGCAAAAACGGCTGAAAGCATGGGCGCCGAACTTCTCTAGGCGCAAGAACCAGGCCAAAAAGGCTCCAGTAGGTGTATTTAAACATGTGCCACTCGAAATGCAATGACAATCAGGTTGTTGAATGCTTTTCCCTACGCTTGTAGGGATCCATTGGCTCTCAGAGCATTTGTCGGGAAAAACGGCCGAAATCATAGGCGCCGAACTTTTCTTGGCGCAAGAACCAGGCCGAAAAGGCTCCAATAGGTGTATTTGAACATGGGTCACTCAAATATGCAATGAAAATCAGGTTGCTGAATGCTTTTCCCCACGCCTCTAGGGATCCGTGCGCTCTCTGAGCATTTGTCGGCAAAAACAGCCGAAATTATGGGCGCCGAAATTTTCTTGGCGCAAGAACCAGGCCGAAAAGGCTCCATAAGGTGTATTTGAACATGGGCCACTCGAATATGCAATGAAAGTCAGGTTGTTGAATGCTTTTCCCTACGCCTCTAGAGATGCGTGCTCTCTCTGAGCATTTGTCAGAAAAAAACGGCCGAAATCAGGGGCGCCGAACCTTTCTTGGCGCAAGAACCAGGTCGAAAAGGCTACAATAGGTGTATTTGAACATGGGCCACTCGAATAACAATGAAAATCAGGTTGTTGAATGCCTTTCCCTACTTCTATAGAGATCCGGGTGCTCTCTGAGCATTTGTCGGCAAAAATGGCCGAAATCAGGGGTGCCGAACTTTTCTTGGCCCAAGAACTAGGCCAAAAAGGCTCCAATAGGTATATTTGAATATGGGCCACTTGAATGTGCAATGAAAATCAGGCTTTTGAATGCTTTTCCCTATGCCAATAGGAATCAGTGCGCTTTCTGAGCATTTGTCGGCAAAAACGGCCGAAATCATGGGCGCCGAACTTTTCTTGGCGCAAGAACTAGGCCGAAAAGGCTCCAATAGGTGTATATGAGCATGAGCCACTGGAATGTGCAATGAAAATCAGGTTGTTGAATGCTTTTCCCTATGCCTCTAGAGATTCGTGCACTCTCTGAGCATTTGTCGGCAAAAACGGCCGAAAACATGGGCGCCGAACTTTTTTTGGCGCAAGAACCAGGCCGAAATGGCTCCAGTAGGTGTATTTGAACATGAGCCACTGGAATGTGCAATAAAAATCAGGTTGTTGAATGCTTTTCCCTACGCCTCTAGAGATCCGTGCGCTCTCTGAGCATTTGTCGGCAAAAACGGCCGAAAGCATGGGCGCCGAACTTTTCTTGGCGTATGGACCAGGCCGAAAAGGCTCCCATAGCTGCATTTGAACATGGGCCACTCGAATATGGAATGATCAGGTTGTTGAATGCTTTTCCCTACGCCTCTAGTGATCCGTGCGCTCTCAGAGCATTTTTCGGCAAAAACGGCCGAAATCATGGGCGCCGAACTTTTCTTTGCGCAAGAATCGTGCTGAAAAGGCTCCAATAGGTGCATTTGAACATGGGCCATTCGAATATGCAATGACAATCAGGTTGTTGAATGCTTTTCCCTAAGCCTCTAGAGATCCGTGCGCTCTCTGAGCATTTGTCGGCAAAACGGCCGAAATCATCGGCGCCAAACTTTTCTTGGTGCAAGAACCAGGCCAAAAGACTCCAATAGGTGTATTTGAACATGGGTCACTCGAATATGCAATGACAATCAGGTTGTTGAATGTTTTTCCCCACGCCTCTAGGGATTCGTGCACTCTCTAAGCAGTTGTCGGCAAAAACGGCCGAAAGCATGGGCGCCGAACTTTTCTTGGCGCAAGAACCAGGCCGAAATGGCTCGAGTAGGTGTATTTGAACATGAGTTACTGGAATGTGCAATAAATATCAGGTTGTTGAATGCTTTTCCCTACGCCTTTAGAGATCCGTGCGCTCTCTGAGCATTTGTCGGCAAAAACGGCCGAAAGCATGGGCGCCGAACTTTTCTTGGCGTATGGACCAGGCCGAAAAGGCTCCCATAGCTGCATTTGAACATGGGCCACTCGAATATGCAATAAAATTCAGGTTATTGAATGCTTTTCCCTACGCCTCTAGTGATCAGTACGCTCTCAGAACATTTTTCGGCAAAAACGGCCGAAATCATGGGCGCCGAACTTTTCTTGGCGCAAGAACCGTGCTGAAAAGGCTCCAATAGGTGCATTTGAACATGGGCCACTCGAATATGCAATGAAAATCAGGTTGTTGAATGCTTTTCCCTACGCCTCTAGAGATCCGTGCGCTCTCTGAGCATTTGTCGGCAAAAACGGCCGAAATCATGGGCGCCGAACTTTTCTTGGTGCAAGAACCAGACCAAAAGACTCCAATAGATGTATCTGAATATGGGCCACTCGAATTTGCAATGAAAATCAGGTTGTTGAATGCTTTTCCCTACGCCTCTAGAGATCCGTGCGCTCCCTGAGCATTTGTAGGCAAAAACGGCCGAAAGCATGGGCGCCGAACTTTTCTCGGCGCAAGAACCAGGATGAAAAGGCTCCAATAGGTATATTTGAACAAGGGCCACTCGAATGTGCAATGAAAATCAGGTTGTTGAATGCTTTTCCCTGCGCCTCTAGAGATCCGTTCGCTCTCTGAGCATTTGTCGGCAAAAACGGCCGAAATCATGGGCGCCGAACTTTTCTTGGCTGAAAATCCTCAAATTGGATGACCGATGATGCTTGCATCCCTCCCATGCCCTTGCTGGCTTGGTAATAGGACCAGGCAAGCGTAGCCACGTGACCCGGCGGAAGAAGAACGTTCAGAACGAGCGCTTCCACCCCCAAAACGCGGAAGAAGTCGCACATGTGCAGGAAGTGCTGCAGGCGCTCTTCATTCGCGAGCGCCGATGACCGATGATGCTTGCAACCCTCCCACGACCTTGCTGGCTTGGGAAAAGGACCAGATAACTGCAGCCACTTGACCCGGTGGAAGAAAAACGCTCGGAACGAGCGCTTCCACCCCCAAAACGCGGAAGGAGCCGCACATGTGCAGGAAGTGCAGCGGGCGCTCTTCATTCGCGAGCGCTGATGATCGATGATGCTTGCAACCCTCCCACACCCTTGCTGGCTTGGTAATAGGACCAGAAAAGCACAGCCACGCTACCCGGCCTAAGAAAAACGCTCAGAACGAGCGCTTCCCCCCCCAAAACGCGGAAGGAGCCGCACATGTGCAGGAAGTGCAGCGGGCGCTCTTCATTCGCGAGCGCCGATGACCGATGATGCTTTCGATTCTCCCACGCCCTTGCTGGCTTGGTAATAGGTCCAGACAAGCGCAGCCATGTGACCCGATGGAAGAAAAACGCTCGGAACGAGCGCGTCCACCCCCAAAACGCGGAAGGACTCGCACATGTGCGGGAAGTGAAGCGAGCGCTCTTCACTCTCGAGCGCCAATGACCGATGATGTTTACGACCCTACCACACCCTTGCTGGCTTGGTAAAAGGACCAGACAAGCGCAGCCACGTGACCTGGCGGAAGAAATAACGCTCGAAACGAGCGCTTCCAGCCCCAATACGCGGAAGGAGCTGCACATGTGCAGGAAGTGCAGCGGACGCTCTTCATTCGCGAGCGCCGATGACCGATGATGCTTGCGACCCTCCCACGCCCTTGCTGGCTTGGTAATAGGACAAGACAAGCGCAGCCACGTGACCCGGCAAAAGAAAAACGCTCGGAACGAGCGCTTCCCCCCCCAAAACGCGGAAGGAGCCGCACATGTGCAGGAAGTGCAGCGAGCGCTCTTCATTCGCGAGCGCCGATGACAGATGATGCTTGCGATTCTCCCACGACCTTGCTGGCTTGGTAATAGGACCAGACAAGCGCAGCCACGTGACCCGGTGGAAGAAAAACGCTCGGAACAAGCGCTTCCACCCCCAAAACGCGGAAGGAGCCGCACACGTGCAGGAAGTGTAGCGGGGGCTCTTCATTCGCGAGCGCCGATCACCGATGATGCTTGCGATTCTCCCACACACTTGCTGGCTTGGTAATAGGACCAGACAAGCGCCGCCACGTGATCCGGCGGAAGAAAAACGCTCCGAACGAGCGCTTTTAACCCCAAAACGTGGAAGGAGCCGCACATGTGCAGGAAGTGCAGCGGGCGCTCTTTATTCGTGAGCGCCGATGACCGATGATGCTTGCAACCCTCCCACGCCCTTGCTGGCTTGGTAATAGGACCAGATAAGCGCAGCAACGTGACCCGGTGGATGAAAAACGCTCGGAACGAGCACTTCCACCCCCAAAACGCGGAAGGAGCCGCACATGTGCAGAAAGTGCAGCGAGCGCTCTTCATTCGCGAGCGCTGATGACCGATGATGCTTGCAACCCTCCCATGCCCTTGCTGGCTTGGTAATAGGACCCGAAAAGTGGAGCCACGTGACCCAGCAGAAGAATAACGGTCGGAACGAGAGCTTCCACCCCCAAAACGCGGAAGGACTCGCACATGTGCAGGAAGTGCAGCGAGCGCTCTTCATTCTCGAACGCCGATGCTCGCTTGGTCATAAGACCAGACCTGCGCAGCCACGTGACCTGGCGGAACGAGCGCTTCTAGCCCGAGGGAGAATGGGGTGGGGTGATGGAAAGCGGGAGAATGGGGCGGGGTGATGGAAAGCGGGAGAATGGGGCGGGGTGATGGAAAGTGGGAGAATGGGGCGGGGTGATGGAAAGCGAGAGAATGGGGCGGGGTGATGGAAAGCGGGAGAATGGGGCGGGGTGCTGGAAAGCGGGAGAATGGGGTGGGGTGATGGAAAGCGGGAGAATGGGGCGGGATGATGGAAAGCAGGAGAATGGGGCGCGGTGATGGAAAGCGGGAGAATGGGGCGGGGTGATGGAAAGCGGGAGAATGGGGCGGGGTGATGGAAAGTGGGAGAATGGGGCGGGGTGATGGAAAGCGAGAGAATGGGGCGGGGTGATGGAAAGCGGGAGAATGGGGCGGGGTGCTGGAAAGCGGGAGAATGGGGTGGGGTGATGGAAAGCGGGAGAATGGGGCGGGATGATGGAAAGCAGGAGAATGGGGCGCGGTGATGGAAAGCGGGAGAATGGGGCGGGGTGATGGAAAGCGGGAGAATAGGGCAGGGTGATGGAAGGAGGGAGAATGTAGCGGGGTGATGGAAGGACGGAGAATGGGGCGGGGTGATGGAAAGCGGGAGAATGGGGTGGGGTGATGGAAAGCGGGAGAATGGGGCGGGGTGATGGAAAGCGGGAGAATGGGGCGGGGTGATGGAAAGAGGAAGAATTGAGCGGGGTGATGGAAGGAAGGAGAATGGGGCGGGGTGATGGAAAGCGGGAGAATGGGGCGGGGTGATGGAAAGCGGGAGAATGGGGCGGGGTGATGGAAAGCGGGAGAATGGGGCGGGGTGATGGAAAGCAGGAGAATGGGGCAGGGTGATGGAAAGCGGGAGAATGAGGCGGGGTGATGGGAAGTGGGAGAATGGGGTGGGGTGATGGAAAGCGTGAGAATGGGGCGGGGTGATGGAAAGCGGGAGAATGGGGCGGGGTGATGGAACGCGGGAGAATGGGGCGGGGTGATGGAAGGAGGGAGAATGGGGCGGGGTGATGGAAGGAGGGAGAATGGGGCGGGGTGATGGAAAGCGGGAGAATGAGGAGGGGTGATGGAAAGCGGGAGAATGGGGCGAGGTGATTGAAGGAGGGAGAATGGGGCGGGGTGATGGAAAGAGGGAGAATAGGGCGGGGTGATGGAAGGAGGGAGAATGGGGCAGGGTGATGGAAAGCGGGAGAATGGGGCGGGGTGATGGAAAACGGGAGAATGGGGCGAGGTGATGGAAAGTGGGAGAATGGGGCGGGGTGATGGAAAGCGGGAGAATGGGGAGGGGTGATGGAAAGCGGGAGAATGGGTAGGGGTGATGGAAAGCGGGAGAATGGGGCGGGGTGATGGAAAGCCGGAGAATGGGGCGGGGTGATGGAAAGCGGGAGAATGGGGCGGGGTGATGGAAAGCGGGATAATGGGGCGGGGTGATGGAAAGCGGGAGAATGGGGCGGGGTGATGGAAAGCGGGAGAATGGGGCGGGGTGATGGAAAGCGGGAGAATGGGGCGAGGTGATGGAAAGCAGGAGAATGGGGCGGGGTGATGGAAAGCGGGAGAATGGGGCGGGGTGATGGAAAGCGGGAGAATGGGGCGGGGTGATGGAAAGCGGGAGAATGGGGCGGGGTGATGGAAAGCGGGAGAATGGGGCGGGTTGATGGAAAGCGGGAGAATGGGGCGGGGTGATGGAAAGCGGGAGAATGAGGCGGGGTGATGGAAAGCGGGAGAATGGGGCGGGGTGATGGAAAGCGGGAGAACGAGGCAGGGTGATGGAAAGCGGGAGAACGAGGCGGGGTTATGGAAAGCGGGAGAACGGGGAGGGGTGATGGAAAGCGGGAGAACGGGGCGGGGTGATGGAAAGCGGGAGAATGGGGCGGGGTGATGGAAAGCAGTAGAATGGGACGGGGTGATGGACAGCGGGAAAAAGGGGCGGGGCGATGGAAAGCGGGAGAATAAGGCGGGGTGATGGAAAGCGGGAGAATGGGGTGGGGTGATGGAAAGCGGGAGAATGGGGCGGGGTGATGGAAAGCGAGAGAATGGGGCGGGATGATGGAAAGCGGGAGAATGGGGCGGGGTGATGGAAAGCGGGAGAATGGGGTGGGGTGATGGAAGGAGGGAGAATGGGGTGGGGTGATGGAAAGTGGGAGAATGGGGCAGGGTGATGGAAAGTGGGAGAATGGGGCGGGGTGATAAAAAGCGGAAGAATGGGGCGGGTTGATGGAAAGCGGAAGAATGGGGCGGGGTGATGGAAAGCGGGAGAATGGGGCGGGGTGATGGAAAGCGGGAGAATGGGGCGGGGTGATGGAAAGCGGGAGAATGGGGCGGGGTGATGGAAAGCGGGAGAATGGGGCGGGGTGATGGAAAGTGGGAGAATGGAGCCGGGTGATGGAAGGAGGGAGAATGGGGCGGGGTGATGGAAGGAGGGAGAATGGGGCGGGGTGATGGAAAGCGGGAGAATGGGGCGGGGTGATGGAAAGCGGGATAATGGGGCGGGGTGATGGAAAGCGGGAGAATGGGGCGGGGTGATGGAAAGCGGGAGAATGGGGCGGGGTGATGGAAAGCGGGAGAATGGGGCGAGGTGATGGAAAGCGGGAGAATGGGGCGGGGTGATGGAAAGCGGGAGAATGGGGCGGACTGATGGAAAGCGGGAGAATGCGGCGGGGTGATGGAAAGCGGGAGAATGGGGCGGGGTGATGGAAAGAGGGAGAATGGGGCAGGGTGATGGAAAGCGGGAGAATAGGGCGGGGTGATGGAAAACGGGAGAATGGGGCGGGGTGATGGAAAGGGGGAGAATGGGGCGGGGTGATGGAAAGCGGGAGAATGGGGCGGGGTGATGGAAAGCGGGAGAATGGGGCGGGTGATCGAAAGCGGGAGAATGGGGCGGGTGTAGAAAGCGGAAGAATGGGGCGGGGTGATGGAAAGCGGGAGAAAAGGGCGGGTGATGGAAAGCGGGTGAATGGGGCGGGGTGATGGAAAGCGGGAGAATGGGGCGGGGTGATGGAAAGCGGGAGAATGGGGCTTATTCTCCCGCTTTCCATCACCCCGCCCTATTCTCCCGCTTTCCATCACCCTGCCCCATTCTCCCTCTTTTCATCACCCCGCCCCATTTTCCCGCTTTCCATCACCCCGCCCCATTCTACCGCTTTCCATCACCCCGCCCCATTCTCCCGCTTTCCATCACCCCGCCCCATTCTTCCGCTTTCTACACCCCGCCCCATTCTCCCGCTTTCAATCACCCCGCCCCATTCTCCCGCTTTCCATCACCCCGCCCCATTCACCCGCTTTCCATCACCCGCCCTTTTCTCCCGCTTTCCATCACCCCGCCCCATTCTTCCGCTTTCTACACCCGCCCCATTCTCCCGCTTTCGATCACCCGCCCCATTCTCCCGCTTTCCATCACCCCGCCCCATTCTCCCGCTTTCCATCACCCCGCCCCATTCTCCTGCTTTCCATCACCCCGCCCCATTCTCCCGCTTCCCATCACCCTGCCTCATTCTCCCGCTTTCCATCACCCCGCCCCATTCTCCTGCTTTCCATCACCCCGCCTCATTCTCCCTCCTTCCATCACCCCGCCCCATTCTCCCGCTTTCCTACTCCCCGCCCCATTCTCCCTCCTTCCATCACCCCGCCCCATTCTCCCGCTTTCCATCACCCCGCCCCATTCTCCTGCTTTCCATTTCCCCGCCCCATTCTCCCGCTTTCCATCACCCCGCCCCATTCTCCCGCTTTCCATCACCCCGCCCCATTTTCCCTCCTTCCATCACCCCGCCCCATTCTCCCTCCTTCCATCACCCCGCCCCATTCTCCCTCTTTCCATCACCCCGCCCCATTCTCCCGCTTTCCATCACCCCGCCCCATTCTCACGCTTTCCATCACCCCGAACCATTCCACCGCTTTCCATCACCCCGCCCCATTCTCCCGCTTTCCATCACCCCGCCCCATTCTCCCGCTTTCCATCATCCCGCCCCATTCTCCCGCGTTCCATCACCCGCCCCATTCTCCCGCTTTCCATCACCCCGCCCCATTCTCCCTCCTTCCATCACCCCGCGCCATTCTCCCTCCTTCCATCACCCCGCCCCATTCTCCCGCTTTCCATCACCCCGCCCATTCTCCCGCTTTCCATCATCCCGCCCCATTCTCCCGCTTTCCATCACCCCGCCCCATTCTCCCTCCTTCCATCACCCCGCCCCATTCTCCCTCCTTCCATTACCCCCTCCTTCCATCACCCTGGCCCATTCTCCCGCTTTCTACCACCCCGCCCCATTCTCCCGCTTTCCATCACCCCGCCCCATTCTCCCCTTCCATCACCCCATCCTTCCATCACCCCGCCCCATTCTCCCGCTTTCCATCACCCCGCCCCATTCTCCCGCTTTCCATCACCCCGCCCCATTCTCCCGCTTTCCATCACCCCACCCCATTCTCCCTCCTTCCATCACCCCACCCCATTCTCCCGCTGTCCATCACCCCGCCCCATTCTCCCGCTTTCCATCACCCCGCCCCATTCTCCCTCCTTCCATCACCCCGCCCCATTCTTCCTTCTTCCATCACCCCGCCCCATTCTCCCGCTTTCCATCACCCCGCCCATTCTCCCGCTTTCCATCACCCCGCCCCATTCTCCCGCTTTCCATCACCCCGCCCCATTCTCCTGCTGTCCATCACCCCGCCCCATTCTCCCACTTTCCATCACCCCACCCCATTCTCCCGCTTTCCATCACCCCGTCCCATTCTCCCGCCTTCCATCACCCCGCCCCAGTCTCCCGCCTTCCATCACCCCGCCCCATTTTCCCGCTTTCCATCACCCCGCCATATTCTCCCGCTTTCCATCACCCCGCCCCATTCTCCCCTTCCATCACCCCATCCTTCCATCACCCCGCCCCATTCTCCCGCTTTCCATCACCCCGCCCCATTCTCCCGCTTTCCATCACCCCGCCCCATTCTCCCGCTTTCCATCACCCCGCCCCATTCTCCCGCTTTCCATCACCCCACCCCATTCTCCCGCTTTCCATCACCCCGCCCCATTCTCCCGCTTTCCATCACCCCGCCCCATTCTCCCGCTTTCCATCACCCCGCCCCAATCTCCCGCTTTCCATCACCCCGCCCCATTCTCCCGCTTTCCATCACCCCGCCCCATTCTCCCGCTTTCCATCACCCCGCCCCATTCTCCCGCTTTCCATCACCCCACCCCATTCTCCCGCTTTCCATCACCCCGCCCCATTCTCCGGCTTTCCATCACCTTGCCCCATTCTCCCGCTTTCCATCACCCGCCCCATTCTCCCGCTTTCCATCACCCCGCCCCATTCTCCCGCTTTCCATCACCCCGCCCCATTCTCCCGCTTTCCATCACCCCGCCCCATTCTCCCGCTTTCCATCACCCCGCCCCAATCTCCTGCTGTCCATCACCCCGCCCCATTCTCCCTCCTTCCATCACCCCGCCCCATTCTCCCTCCTTCCATCACCCCGCCCCATTCTCCCGCTTTCCATCACCCCGCCCATTCTCCCGCTTTCCATCACCCCGCCCCATTCTCCCGCTTTCCATCACCCCGCCCCATTCTCCCGCTGTCCATCACCCCGCCCCATTCTCCCGCTTTCCATCATCCCGCCCCATTCTCCCGCTTTCCATCACCCCGCCCCATTCTCCCGCCTTCCATCACCCCGCCCCAGTCTCCCGCCTTCCATCACCCCGCCCCATTTTCCCGCTTTCCATCACCCCGCCATATTCTCCCGCTTTCCATCACTCCGCCCCATTCTCCCCTTCCATCACCCCATCCTTCCATCACCCCGCCCCATTCTCCCGCTTTCCATCACCCCGCCCCATTCTCCCGCTTTCCATCACCCCGCCCCGTTCTCCCGCTTTCCATCACCCCGCCCCATTCTCCCGCTTTCCATCACCCCGCCCCATTCTCCCGCTTTCCATCACCCCGCCCCATTCTCCCGCTTTCCATCACCCCGCCCCATTCTCCGGCTTTCCATAACCTTGCCCCATTCTCCGGCTTTCCATCACCCGCCCCATTCTCCCGCTTTCCATCACCCCGCCCCATTCTCCCGCTTTCCATCACCCCGCCCCATTCTCCCGCTTTCCATCACCCCGCCCCATTCTCCCGCTTTCCATCACCCCGCCCCAATCTCCCGCTGTCCATCACCCCGCCCCATTCTCCCTCCTTCCATCACCCCGCCCCATTCTCCCTCCTTCCATCACCCCGCCCCATTCTCCCGCTTTCCATCACCCCGCCCATTCTCCCGCTTTCCATCACCCCGCCCCATTCTCCCGCTTTCCATCACCCCGCCCCATTCTCCCGCTGTCCATCACCCCGCCCCATTCTCCCGCTTTCCATCACCCCGCCCCATTCTCCCGCTTTCCATCACCCCGCCCCATTCTCCCGCCTTCCATCACCCCGCCCCAGTCTCCCGCCTTCCATCACCCCGCCCCATTTTCCCGCTTTCCATCACCCCGCCATATTCTCCCGCTTTCCATCACCCCGCCCCATTCTCCCCTTCCATCACCCCATCCTTCCATCACCCCGCCCCATTCTCCCCTTCCATCACCCCATCCTTCCATCACCCCGCCCCATTCTCCCGCTTTCCATCACCCCGCCCCATTCTCCCGCTTTCCATCACCCCGCCCCATTCTCCCGCTTTCCATCACCCCGCCCCATTCTCCCGCTTTCCATCACCCCGCCCCATTCTCCCGCTTTCCATCACCCCGCCCCATTCTCCCGCTTTCCATCACCCCGCCCCATTCTCCTGCTTTCCATCACCCCGCCCCATTCTCCCGCTTTCCATCACCCCGTCCCATTCTCCCGCTTTCCATCACCCCGCCCCATTCTCCCGCTTTCCATCACCCCGCCCCATTTTCCCGCTTTCCATCACCCCGCCCCATTCTACCGCTTTCCATCACCCCGCCCCATTCTCCCGCTTTCCATCACCCCGCCCCATTCTTCCGCTTTCTACACCCCGCCCCATTCTCCCGCTTTCAATCACCCCGCCCTATTCTCCCGCTTTCCATCACCCCGCCCCATTCACCCGCTTTCCATCACCCGCCCTATTCTCCCGCTTTCCATCACCCCGCCCCATTCTTCCGCTTTCTACACCCGCCCCATTCTCCCGCTTTCGATCACCCGCCCCATTCTCCCGCTTTCCATCACCCCGCCCCATTCTCCCGCTTTCCATCACCCCGCCCCATTCTCCTGCTTTCCATCACCCCGCCCCATTCTCCCGCTTCCCATCACCCTGCCTCATTCTCCCGCTTTCCATCACCCCGCCCCATTCTCCTGCTTTCCATCACCCCGCCTCATTCTCCCTCCTTCCATCACCCCGCCCCATTCTCCCGCTTTCCTACTCCCCGCCCCATTCTCCCTCCTTCCATCACCCCGCCCCATTATCCCGCTTTCCATCACCCCGCCCCATTCTCCTGCTTTCCATTTCCCCGCCCCATTCTCCCGCTTTCCATCACCCCGCCCCATTCTCCCGCTTTCCATCACCCCGCCCCATTTTCCCTCCTTCCATCACCCCGCCCCATTCTCCCTCCTTCCATCACCCCGCCCCATTCTCCCTCTTTCCATCACCCCGCCCCATTCTCCCGCTTTCCATCACCCCGCCCCATTCTCACGCTTTCCATCACCCCGAACCATTCCACCGCTTTCCATCACCCCGCCCCATTCTCCCGCTTTCCATCACCCCGCCCCATTCTCCCGCGTTCCATCACCCGCCCCATTCTCCCGCTTTCCATCACACCGCCCCATTCTCCCTCCTTCCATCACCGCCTCCTTCCATCACCCCGCCTTATTCTCCCGCTTTCCATCACCCCGCCCCATTCTCCCGTTTTCCATCACCCCGTCCCATTCTCCCGCTTTCCATCACCCCGCCCCATTCTCCCGCTTTCCATCACCCCGCCCCATTCTCCCGCGTTCCATCACCCGCCCCATTCTCCCGCTTTCCATCACCCCGCCCCATTCTCCCTCCTTCCATCACCGCCTCCTTCCATCACCCCGCCTTATTCTCCCGCTTTCCATCAACCCATCCCATTCTCCCGCTTTCCATCACCCCGCCCCATTCTCCCGCTTTCCATCACCCCGCCCCATTCTCCCGCTTTCCATCACCCCGCCCCATTCTCCCGCTTTCCATCACCCCGCCCCATTCTCCCGCTTTCCATCACCCCGCCCCATTCTCCCTCCTTCCATCACCCCGCCCCATTCTCCCGCTTTCCATCACCCCGACCCATTCTCCCGCTTTCCATCACCCGCCCCATTCTCCCGCTCTCCATCACCCCGCCCCATTCTCCCGCTTTCCATCACCCCGCCCCATTCTCCCGCTTTCCATCACCCCGCCCCATTCTCCCGCTTTCCATCACCCCGCCCCATTCTCCCGCGTTCCATCACCCCGCCCCATTCTCCCTCCTTCCATCACCCCGCCCCGATCTCCTGCTTTCCATCACCCCGCCCCATTCTCCCGCTTTCCATCACCCCGCCCCATTCTCCCGCTTTCCATCACCCCGCCCCATTTTCCCTCCTTCCATCACCCCGCCCCATTCTCCCTCCTTCCATCACCCTGCCCCATTCTCCCTCTTTCCATCAACCTGCCCCATTCTCCCGCTTCCCATCACCCCGCCCCATTCTCCCGCTTTCCATCACCCCGCCC